CTGCGCCCCAGCTCGCCGCGCACCGCCCTACAGCCGGCCGGCCACCACGTGGCGGGGCCGAGACTGACTTGCCTGCTCTCCGAGGGTTTGTGAGGGCCGAGGGCAAGTCTCGATCGCCACTACGTGAACTGCGATTTACCGCTGTTTCTTCCCCAGAGTTATTGCCCAGAGACGCAAACCTAGGGGAAAGTGGAGACGCGCGGCGCCCAGAGAGCTGCTGCGCGGAGTTACCGCTTAGCAGTTCTTTGAGGAACCTGTACTTGGGGCGCGCCAGACGCCCAGTTTTGATATTTCTTCTATCCTGTCCATCTACATGAACCCCCCCCTTTTCAATGCGATTTTAAGAAAAAGGGGAGGAGCTTCGCAAGCCCAAGGCCCCGGTACCCCCCAAAAAGAAGCGGGGGGTAGGAAAACTAGGCACGTCTCTCCAAATCTGAAAATTTAAAAACTTTCTATATTAACCCGTTGCTGCTTGTCTTTAAAACCATGTCTAAAATCCCCACTCGGCCTCTCACCTTCTCTCCCACTTGCTCCAGTTAAATTGATCGATTTATCATTTTCCTACCAGACTTGAACACTCTGTGAGGGACTTAATTTCATATACACATACCTGCCAAAACAATGTATAGTACGCAGGAAAGGAAAAAATAAGAAATGTCTGAAAGCTATTGGCCACCAACCACTCTGAGCACCTCTTGTAATTGTAGAGGCCAAAAGTATCTTGTGTTAATCTCATGCTCTCAATAAATTTAATATTAAAGTAGCTATACAAGTTGTTTTTCTTTTCCTGAAGTGTGTATACATTTTTTGCAGACTGTGTGTGTGTGATGTATTGCATCTGACGACTTTTATGAGGCTATATAATTTAAGTATTCTAGGATCCAGCAAGTTTTCAGATATTGTACCTGGTTGAAGCATGTGTTTGTTTGTTTGTTTGTTTGTTTGTTTCAGTACTGGGGATTGAACCCAGAGCCTTGCACATGCTGGGAGGAGCTGGGATGATAGAATAGGCCACCAGTCCTGGCTGGCACAAGCATTTATTAAACACTGTTAATTCCTATCCATACTAATTTGTTATACCTGGTTGGCATGTGTTTGTTTGTTTGTTTGTTTGTTTGTTTCAGTACTGGGGATTGAACCCAGAGCCTTGCACATGCTGGGAGGAGCTGGGATGATAGAATAGGCCACCAGTCCTGGCTGGCACAAGCATTTATTAAACACTGTTAATTCCTATCCATACTAATTTGTTACACCTTTCTGAAGTTAACACTGGATTAGTAGATCATGTTTCAAATTAAGTATCCTTGCTCCTTTTATTTTCCCAGACCTGTTTTCAGATGTGGCGGCATTCTTACTGGAGAATCTGGATTTATCGGCAGTGAAGGTTTTCCTGGAGTGTACCCTCCAAATAGTAAATGCACTTGGAAAATCACAGTAAGCATTTTTTAAAAGGGATTCTCCAAGGGGCCGGGGATTTAGCTCAGTGGTTCTGCCACTTGTTTCAATCCCTGGTACCAAAAAAGGGGGGTTCTCCTGGAAGTGGGTATTGGAAACAGTGTGAGGCTGCTGACTTTAATCCTGTAGTGACAGAATATGAGTTAGAGGCAAATGCCTGAATAAAAGAAATGTTGGATTGACTTCAAGTATTTGGGAGATTTTTATTAAGAGATGTAGTGGTATCCTGCATTCGCAATTAGGACTCAAGCTAATACTTGAAGGAATAAATTCTTAAACCAGATGTATTTCTGAAAACCCAGCTTGACTCAGTTGAGTTTATGGGTTCATAATTAAGGCTATTTTCACTCAAAGGTCTGTTGTGACCTTTGGAAGTCAGTTGTTGCTCAAGCCTGCATAAATTCCCTGTGGGAAATAGAAGATCAAAGATAGTGCTTTGGCTGGTGCTTCTACCCATTAGTAAAAGAAAAAAAGAGAAAGGGAGAAAAATCCCCACTTAATGTCCCTGGGTAGAAACCACCATTACATGAGGGGTGAGGGAAGAGTTATGGCAAGGGCTAATAAAATGCCCATGGTGCTTAGTAATGGTTGAATTATGTTAAGATAAGCTGATTTTAGAGACGACATTTTCTTTTTTTTTAAGTCTGGATTTAGAATCAGCTAGATTGAATCATCTTTCCAGTTAGTGTAGCAACACTGCTGTTTTCTTTTTTGTTGTTGCTGGGAAGGTGTTTGGTAATTGGAAATATTGATTCACTGAGAGCTTCATTTAGTCAGGTTGTACCACCCTCAGATTATGATTTTAAAAAGTAGCTACCTCTGACTGAGCCAGCTAGCATTTATTGTACCAAGTAGTCAACAAGAATAATCTCAGTGAACCCTCAGACCCATTCTGAAAAAATATTAGTATCCCATTTTATGAAAAGAGAAGCTGAGACCTAAGACAATTCTAGGTATTGATTTGATCAAGCTCAACTTTATATAAAGTAAAACTTGTTCTACTTGGAGAGTGTTGGAGAACTTTGGAGGTTGTTTCCAGAGAGCGCTTTCCTTGACAGAGAAGCAGTTTGCCTTAGGAGAGGCCTGGTTGCCTCATTCTGTGTGGGTACAGGGGAATGTTTGGATGTTCCACTTGAACATAAGGTAAAGGTGAAGCCTTTGTGCTTATCACCAGAATCCTAGGCCAGAGCCTGATTCTGGAGGTCCCAATGATATAGGGCACCAAGTAATCCAAATAATGTAAATAACCCATAAGGGAAATACTATAGCTCCCACCCTTGTAGATATCTGAAACACTGAGTTCATGTTCTCTAAAATCAAAGAATGAATTCTAGGAACAACAGAGGTTATAAGTAGGAAGTATTTATTGAGGGAAAGACAGCTCCTGCTTGAGAGGGACCAAGGGAGACATCCGGAAAGTGAGTTGCCCAGGACCCAGTTTCTCAGGGGGTTTTTGTGGAGCAAAGCCATGAGATGAGGTAGATGCAAAGTGGGACAAAGTGACAGTCAGCCAGTAAAATCCAATGGAAAAATTACAAGGTGGGCGTAAGGTGGGACAAAACCATAATCAACCAATAAGATTACAAGTACAGTCACCCACGTAATATTGATTAAATGGGGAAACAAGTTGTGTAGTTATCATACATAAACTAAACAAGGAGTTTCTGGAAAGGAAGTGGGCTAGGGAAATTCTGCTCCGCACTTAATGTGATTGATGTCTATTTAGAATATTAGTCACTGTTATTTATCTCTAGGGGAAGTGTGAGTGTAGTACTTTTGTTTTTGAGTCTTGGTCTTGAATAGATAGATGGCCCTCAATTGTCTTCTGTATTGACTCCCTCAAGGACCCCCTATCTAACTGCCTACAACCACGTGTCTGATTAGTTTAGCTGTCTCCAACACCAACACCCCAGATTTGGCTACCCACTGCATGTACAGCCAGAGATGAGTGCTGGTGAAGTAGTTAAGGAATTTATTACTATGACCATACCAGTGTCCTAAGCCCTTCAGGATACTGACAAGAGCTTCAGGATTATATATGAAAAGGACAAAATCAGGAAACCGAAAGTATACATAGTCAAGCAGACTTGGTCAAACTGTTCAAGTTGTTCATTAACTCAGCTCTGGTTCTCTGGGCTTCTGATAGCTCTGGAGAAATCATTATTTCTTGGGAAGCAATTTGATTCCCTCATGGATGAGCCTGAAGGCTTGCTGTTCCTGGAACGTGAAATAAGCTGAGAAGTGACCCATCGAAAGAAAAGGCCAAAGGAGCAAGGTGGAGTATCAGTTAAGGATAATGACTGGATCCTTCTTTCAGTCCCCAATTTTAAAGTTCAGCTAGCTCAGCAGTGAGACTTTGTTGGAATCACATTCTCTTTTCATTTCTCATAAACTGTGCAACTAGGATTATCTTTCTTTGTGGTACCGGGATCGAACTCAGGACCTTGTGCTTGCTAGACAGGTGCAGTACCACCGAGCTACATCTCTGGCCCCAGGATTTATCTTTTTTAAGCCTCAGAGTTTGTTGTGAAGACAAAATGAGATAGCAAATGTAAAGCTCTGCAGTTTGGTGCCTGAGAATGGAAGAAGTTAGATTTGCTACAAGAACATATCAAGAAGGCCAGTGTGGCTGAAACAGAATGGCTTACGGAGACAGTGGGAAAAGTGGAAGTAAAAAAAAAAGATGAGCAGAACCCTGTAGGCCAAGATGAGTTTGATTTTTGTTTTGAATAGGAAGCCATTGGAAGATTTTAAGCAGAAGAATGAGATTATCTTTTTTGTTGTTGTTACCAGGGTCTGAACTCGGGACCTTGCGTTTATAAGGCAGGCAGCAGAACCACTGAGCTAAACCGCCAGCCTGAAATGATCTAATTTTGAAAGAGCATTCTAGCTGCTGTGTGGAGGATGAGTTATACGGAATTAAGAATGGAAGCAGGCTTGAGACCATACTCTTAAGTGAAAAAAAAAATTGGACACACATTCTTTCTCTGGTATGAGAAACCAAATAAATGTTGGGAAATGTGGGAAAAAAAATGTTCAAATGAGCAGGAGGGGGAAAGGAAAGAAGGGACAAGAAATAAAAGGAAGGATAAAAAGAAAATGGAAACAATGCTTTTGTAAATAAGGTGGGGAAGAGGTTTTGGGGAGGAAATGGGAAAAAAAGAAGAAACAAGATATATCATGTACAGGTACAAATTCCCTGTGATGAATGTTATCATTATGTATATCTAAAATATACCAATAAATGCTTTACTTAAAAACGAAAAGAATGGAAGCAGGGAGTTGGATTAGGAAGTTGTGAAGTATAGAATACAGGAGACGATGTTGGAATAATTAGGGTGGTGACAAAGAAGATGAACAAGCATGGAGTTTCCTGTCTTAAGTGTTTTCTCGGCAGCACTGCATGCTTTTGGAGTAGTGGCATTGGCTGAGATGTCAATGCCCCAAACCCTGGCCCCTTGCACAGCCACAGTTCCATGTAGGGCTGTGCTCTGCTGGAGCCTTACGCAAGGTAGACTATGAAGATTTTCTTCTTTTTTTATTAGTTTTTATTATTACATGTGTTATGGCTTGTATCTAGATACTCCCCCAAAATCTCATGTGTTCATGGATGTGGCTTTTCAGAGCTGGCTGGATCTAGGTTGTATGGTACTAAATTACTCCACTGATTGGTTTGGCATAGTTCTGAGTATGAATAATGGAAGGCCCACTCAGGGTGTAGATGGAACCACACTGTAGCTTGGATGGAATAAAAGGGAAAGGGAGGTTTGCTTTGCTGTGCTTACTGCTACCTTGCTGCTCTGCCATAGATTGTTTCTCCTCTGCCATACTGCCCTTGGAGCCATTTGATTATGGACTGCACCCTGCATAAACTGAGTGCTGAAATAAACCTCTCCTTCAATTTGTGGGTATTAGATATTGTGTATCAGTGAAGAGAAAAGTAACTAAAACATTTTGATACCAGAAGTAGGGTTGTTGGTGTGACTCTCTTGACCGTGTGGTTCAGGAGCCTTTGAAACTGGCTTGTAGAACGAATTTAGAATTATTTGGAGATGCCCGCTAAAGAAATAGTGCTGAATTTCTGTAGGCCGAACTTGATGGGAGATTCTGGTTGAAGTTCAGAAGACCAAAATTTTGACTGCAGTATAGCTGGAAAAGACCAAACTCATGAGATATTAATTGGAAAGAAGGATTCCATTGACAGTTGGACTCCAGACTGTATATTATGCTCTGGCTGAAAATTTGTCTGCATCTTGTTCTTGTCTAGAGACTTAGAGACTGAGATTAAGGGCACTGGGCTAATCTAGAGGAAGAAATTTCAAGGCAGTCTAATGTTGAGGCTGTGGCATGGCTACTGTTGGAGGCTTGTAGCCAGATCTGTGTTGAGAATCGAAAGGAAAGAGCCCATCAGAATGATTTAAAATGTTTTGAGTTTGGCTAGAAAGGAAACTCTGGAAAAGTTACAGCCTGCAAAGAAGGAGCAGAGAACTTGTTTTCTGAGAAGGAGCAGGACAATAGAAAAGATGACCTGAGAGCATCACAAGAACCAGAAGGACTCCACCTCTTGCAGCCTCAAAATTGCAAAGGTGAAAGATTTGGCTTTGAGAGTTCCAGAGCACCATGTTCCAGAATGGTGGCTGCCCAGAGACTTTGTTCCTCAGGATTAGGTTCACAACACTCAACAATCCAGGCACTCGACTCCTACAGCCAAGACAGAAGAAACCCGGCTACTATCTGGCAACAGACCTTCACATTATCCACATGGTGCTGGTTTTAGGCACATACACAAAGCAAGAGCTGTGGGATCAGAAAGGCATCCACCCAGATTTCAGAAGCCAGGCAGTGTGTCCCTGAGAGAGCACTGTGAACTTGTGAGTGTGAAGCTGAAGGTGCAGTGGATAACCCAGAAGATTAGAGAACCCACGAGTATAGATCATCTGAGGAAAACTGCAAGAAGTGAGTAAAACTGGCCCAAGAAA